CATCCTTTCCCGTATCCTTTTCAATGTGTGGTCTGCGTGTCGGTTAGCTGTGGCTTGCCAACTTTGAGACAGTGTGGATCTTTCCTGATCGGGTTGATCTGGTGGATACTATTATCAAGAAGCATTCTGGCGGGATCGAGTCGCCAGCGTCATCTTGGAGGTGCGGGCGGTTTTCTGAACGGAATTCGAGCTGTAGGTAAGCTACGGAGCTGAAGGGCACACTAATCGACAGGAAATGATCAGGAACGCTAGTTTAAACTATCTAGATACCTGAAACTTGTGCCAGAATTTCAACCTGAACACTTATTGTGATCTTCAATTTGTTTGATGGGCAATGTGTGTGTTATCAATTGAATTCAAGCTTTAGGCGAACTACGGCGCTGGAAGGCGCGCCGTCCAGCAGGGAATGATCACATACATACGTCTACAAGACGTCTGATATCGGTTTGCTACCATAGCTGGGGCTGAACCATTCGCATTGCATTTTTAGACATGATGTTCCTTTTCTCTACTTGATTCGAGCTGTGGACGAGCTGCGGAGCTGAGGCGCGCACCAATCGTCAGGAAATGCTGAGAAGCGCAAGTCCCAATTATTCAGACGCCAGCCATCGGTCTCCTACCAGAGCTGCGACCATACACATATCTTCACTTGAAATTTTTTTGTGGATTACCTGGATTATTTGACGTTTGATTTTCGTTTCGGAATCGCAGGTTTTCTATTGCGCTATGCCAGTGAAAGTGCGAGGGCGCTAGCTATGTCCAGCGGTTCATTGCGGCAGCAAATGCTGGTTGCTCTACCTTACTCGAAATGTAGGCTTGCCACGCAGTTTTTTTGGCATAGTGATGTTTCGAGAAGTATTATGTGTGTCACCGCGTGTCCGCGAGAAGCCATGCGAGCAACCGTCAATATTGTATTCGACCCCTGCATTTCTGATCGGCGTACGCTGGGGGCCCAGATGATTTTCTCAAGACTTAGAGCAGCTACGAAGCTTTCTGTTTTACGAATAGATTGGGAAGCCCCGTAGGCGGTTGTTGAGAGCCTGGAGAGGCCTCGTCGCAATGCCATATGAGTTCTTTATTCGAAAACCATCTGAACTTCATAATGTTTATGGGCGCGCGTCAACTACCCGCTCTCTGCATTTTTTTTCGCCGCGTATGCGGCTTGTAGATCTCATTTAAAAAACATGAGTTCTTGGTCAGACGTCGAACTAGCGAAGACGAAAGTTATGTAAAGACTCGCGCGACCCGAGTTCGACCTTGACTTATGTCCCAATAAACTCGCTGCAGTCTGCAAGATTTTCTGTGCGCGTTGAGTTTGCGAATTTACCCGACATTTAGCAGGGGCCCCGTGCGCGGCAATGAAGAGCGTCGAGTGCACGACATCGATGGCACGGGCCAGGAGCTGAATCTTCTACCCCAGCTGTGACCGATAAGATCTACGTACTCTGTTCTAACGTCGGATGCCATCTGAGCAGTTCATCGCTCTCCGCTTGTGAAAGCTTCAGTGCTGGGGCTGCAATGCCGGAAGTAAGCGAGCCCGACGCGAGACGCAAAAGAAGCTACAACCAGAAAAATTGATAATATTTATTTCGTTGCAGCTGCAAGGAACTCCACGAGGCTTTCGGCGGTAACCGTCTTGATTGTTTACCGCCGGCGCCCGGTTGTAGTAGCACCTCGTCGACCTCGTGGTTCGACCAGAGCTAGGGAATTTCGGCAACGAGCAGAGCTAGTTCGTCGACCCGGCCAGAAGAGAGAATATGGCGACCTGAAATCGATTTTTGCATATGGCTCGAAATTCGAAAATTCATGTTGAGAGTGCTGTTTTTTTGCTATAAGCATCGCATGTTCTTTTCGTTCTGCGAAAGGCTCATCTATCTATATGGATCCTCTTTGTGTGTTGCTTTCTGGGAACCGACTTCATTGCGTATTTTCAGTGGGTGCGACTACAGACCTTTGAAATGCGCGTGCGATTCAGCGGGGTCGAACGGGTTAGTTTGAACATCGGTGGCGTTTTTTTCCTACCTCGAGCAACATTATAAACGTCTTGTTCTTCGACATGTTTCTTCTAGCGCCGCATAGGGTAGCAGAAGACTGCGTGAGCCGCAGACCATCGTCAGGATTCAAAATCATGAGAGCAGAAGGTAAACTGGAAGGGATCTTGCTACTGCTTATACGACTTGTTCTCGTAACTGTAGGACAAGGAACAACTATGCTACGACGACTGCTACCAATAATCAACCTTCGACAAGAAAATCTGTAATAAGGAAACGGACAAGTATAGTACTACGAATCACTTATAGTTGGCTAATACCAGCAAGTGCTATATCTAATGTTCGTAATACGGCTATGTTAGTGGTGCTCACATGAAGTATACGAAGGCTACTAATACGAATCCCCATCCTGATTATAGCAGCATTATTTCAAACACTAGTCGTATGTTCTTCTTGCCGATAAAAATAATGAGACCAGCACCGTTAACATATTTGATTTTGGATACCAAGTGTTATGAGTTTGAGTATTACAAAAACGACTCATAATGGTACTACTACTAGCACGCACAGTAATAATCCGATAACTCCTCGTAGTAAGACCACAGCCAACTTGTATATCACTAGTCGTTTTTGCTAATATTCTTATGACTAATCATGGCATTAATCGTTTTCGTACTCTTACTACTCGTGTTATTACTGCTGTCAATATTACTTCCAGTCTCATCTTTTATACTGTTAGTGATACCAATGCGAAGTCTGACGCCCACACTGTTAATACTACTAATACAATAACTATTATTGTCACGGCTTCAACAATAGCAGTCGTAGTATGGATATTACAATTCTTAATAATCAAAGTCATTTGAATCATGTTTTTAGGAGTGATTCAAGTAATACTGAAGCTTGTATTATAATCGTATTATGCCATATACTAGTGATATCAATATTCGCCATCATGTTTACCCGCGGTACTAATAATAACGCACAACTATTATTCATAGTAACCATCAATCGTAATAGTCATGCTACTACAGGATTCTTACTCATGCTAGCGAGACTTCACACATTAGTAGCAACGCCAATCATGATTATCCGTAAGGGCTTCGCCCCATGCCGCTGGCCCCCTGTCTCGTATAGTGGGAGATGCAAAAAACTAAATCATGAGGTCCTGGGCGCCGCCGAAGCAGTGTCGGGACTTTGTTGTTTTTCGACCCTGGCTCCGCCGATTTGCGTGAGGGGCGCAACTGAATTTCAGGAATGTGGTACAACTCCTGTGTTTCTGGACCCTGACCCCGCCGATCTGCGTGAGCGGTGGCACCGAATTTTAGAAATGTGGCAAGTCCTGTGTGTTTTTGGACCATGACCCCGCCTTTCTGTGTGAGGGGTGCCACCGACTTTTAAAACATGTGGCACATCTTTTGCGTTTTTGGACCCTGACTCTGTCGATCCGCGTGCGGGATGCCACCGGATTTCAGAAATGTTGAGCATCCCTTTGGTTTTCGGACCCTGACCCCGCCGATCTGCGTGAGGGGTGCGATCGAATTTTAAAAATGTTGCAAATCCGCGTTGTTTTTGGACCCTGACCCCGCCGATCTGTGTGAGGGGTGGTGCCGAATTTCAGAAATTTGGCAACTCCCTTGTGTTTTTGGACCCTGACCCTGCCGATCTGCGTGAGGGGTGCTACCAGATGTTACTGTGGCAAATCCTGCGTGTTTTTGCACCCTGACCCCAACGATCAGCGTGAGGGGTGGCACCGAATTTTTGAAAATTGGCAAATCCCCTGTGTCTTTGGACCCTGACCCCGCCGATCTGCGTGAGGGGTGTCAGCAAATTTTTGGAAATGCGGCAAATCCCATGTGTTTTTGGACCCTGACCCCGCCGATCTGTGTGAGGGGTGCCACCGAATGTCTGGCAAATCCTGTGTGTTTTGGGACTCTGACCCCGCCGATCTGAGTGAGGGGGTATCATTTTTTTCCCACCCCAGCAATTCAGACAACACGCTCAGGGCGTGCTAGACCTGCCCATTTGGGCCTCCCCCCCTCGCGCGGTCCATCAACAAGGAACAGTAAGCAGCAATAAGCAGAACCGTAACAGTGGAAACTAGAAGCTGCAACTGGCACTGGAAACAACGAACCTTCGGCCTACAGCCTGGTGGCCCCACAAGGGGGCCGGCGGATATGAAACAACGAGAGCAGGAGGAGGAGGAGGACGAGGGGGAGGGGGAGAGGAGGACGAGGAGGACGATGAGGAGGAGGAAGAGGAGGAGGAGGAGGAGGAGGAGGAGGAGGAGGAGGAGGAGGAGGAGGAGGAGGACGAGAAACAACATTGAATGATCACTTGGGAGCTGTTGGGTCATGTTCTTGGGGACCTCGTAGGAGCTTCCTGGGGGCCTCTGCAGGCCTCCTGGTGGCTTCCTCGGGCCGCCTGGGGGGCCTTTTGGGGCTTCGTGGGGGCCTCCTTGGCCGTCCTGGGGCGTTCCTGGCTCGTTTTAAGCCGTCGGAAGTCGTCTTGCGGGTCTCTCTGGGTCGACGTGGGGCCGTTTGGGATGCTTCAGGGTTGTTTTGGGGGGTCATCTTGGGTGTCTTGGAGGCCTCTTGGCCCAGCTTGGTGCCCTCTTCGGGCCGTCTTAGTGGCCCCTTTGGAGGTCTCTTGGGCGCTCTTGCTGCGAACCTGTGGCTCTCTTGGGCCGTCTTGTGGCAATTTTGGAGACCTCTTGGGCGCTCTTGGGGCGATCGTTGGGGCTTCTTTGGCCGTTGGAAGGCCGAAAACGAGCAAATGCCACCATACGAGCAAGTGCCAACATACGTCGGGCCTTCTTGCCTGTCCTCTTGGAGACTTCCTGGGCTGGGCCGTGTTCGCCTATCTTGAGTACGTCTTGTGCGGTCTTGGGTGCATTTTCGGCCACCTTGGAGATATCTTGTGGCCATCCTGGGCCTCCTGAGGGCATCTTGGCGGCCTCGCCTCCCGCTTCTTGCTCGCGCGTTGCCAGGAAGCCCCCCCGCCCACCCGAGAGGGGCGCAGGAGAAGCGGCCCCCCCCCCTCGCCCCCCGCCCTGGCGCTCCTCGGCCGATGGACCTCTCGGGCTCGCCGGGGGCGCGATGGGCCAGCGCTTCTCCTGGAGCGGGGCGAGCCCAAAGGGCGGCGAAGAGGGCGGGCCCGAGGAGGACTTCAGCGAGGCTCGGAGGGGCTCAGTCGGCCAGGGGGCTCAGGAGTTCGGCGAAGCATCTGTGAACGTATAGGCGCTCCAGCGTCCCACAGGTCGGGTTCGGTAGCAACTCAGGAGAAACTGTTATGTCCTTGAACTTCCATCTTTAGAGTGTTTTCGCGTGTGCTGGCTAGCCTCTCGTTGTCGATGAGAGAGCGCTGACGCAGTGTCGATTTGGCGTCGATTGACGTCGATTAGCGTCGATTGCTGCTGTGTTTTGCACGGCGTCTCATTGTTTCACAGCGCCACTTCTTGCCACACCGCTTTGCCAATGCACCTTCGACGTACACGGCGTCTCTCTTTCTCTCTTTCGCTATCGTCGTTACCCAAGAGCCAGCTAGATGACATGGGAGGCTAGCATGAGTTGCCACTCAAGGCTGGGCAGCTGGAGCGTCTGTAGACCGAGCTTCTCGGCCGACCAAATGACGTGGTGCGTTCGTCGAGCCCTTCTCAGAGGCCTGGAACCAGCGGGACGAGGGGGTACTCTGGGAGGTTGCGGCGTGGGTGCCTGGGCTGCTGCTGTGGCGCCGCATCGAGGATCGGAGCAGGGCAAGCTAAGACAGCGGCAGCTCAGAATCGGCCCCCCGACCCCTCCCGGGCTCCACGTGTACCCGTTTTCAGAGCTGTGTCAAGCTTGTAGGCGACACTGAGATCCGACGCTGCATAAAAATATGTAGCATCGCGAGCAACCACGACCAGAGGCCTGGACCCCATCCTTGTGCGCCACCTTGCGAGTCGCATCGATGTGCGAGGGTCACGGGGCCCGCAGCCGCGCGAGAACGCCCTGGCACGAGGAAGATGCGACGCCTGGACCTCAGGGAGGGGCCACCTGCCGCTGTCTCGACTCGCCCTCCCCTGAGCTCAGGGGGCGGTGTGGGAGGGAGCGGGCTCAGGGGGGAGTGCATCGACCCAAGGATTGCAAAAAAACCGAAGGATTGCAACAAAAACCGAAGGATTGCAAAAAAACGAAGGATTGCAAAAAACCCAGGATTGCAAAAAAACCCAGGGTTTTTTTGCAATCCTTCGGTTTTTTTGCAATCCTTCGATCGCCCACCGATCGCCGATGGCGGCCCGACGTCTGACCCCGTCCAGGGCCGTGCGGACTCGTTGTCGGGGGCCGATCGCCGGGCCGTCGGCGACGGACCGTCGGCTCCACAGGTCGACGTGCCCCCCCCCCTTCAAGCAGTGGCGAAGCGTCTGGCTCGCCTATAGCCCCACCAGACAATGTTCTAAGAACCTCCCGTGGTTTCCACAGCGACACAACCACAGGGTGTGGAATTTGATGGCAACGATGCGATATGTGATGCTCGAGTGATGCCGGCGCCCCGGCGCTACCGCCTAGCCCCGCGTAGGGCCGTCCCCCTGGGACGACATAGGCGCAGCCTCGCAGCCTCGCAGCCTCGCAGCCTTCCGTGATTTCCACAACATGTTCTTAGAACATTTATGGCGGAGACTGTCTTGTTTTATCACATCGGGTTTATGTTCCAAGAACATTGTTTTTGTTCTTAGAACATTTTGGGGTTCTAAGAACATTTCGTGGTAGGACTATAGGAATGCCGGGACGGTCGGTGCCTGCTCAACCCCTGAGCAAGCCCCTTCCCTTGTCCGTTGGGAGCAGGAAGCGCACCACCGCCGCCACCACCCGGGGGGATTCAGGGCGAGCTGGTGTGCGGGATGCGATGCGGGTGCGCACTGTGCCCCGCGAGAGCGCCCGAAACGATGTACCCCACCACCCCTGACCACCCTCCGCCTCTGCCCTCCTGGCGTTGTTGGTGGCGGTGCGCTGCGTCCTCCCTACATTGCTGCCTCTCGTGCGAGGACGCAGAGCGATCGCTGCGCAGGGCCATCCGCCACGTGCAGGCGCGGCCGGCGGCGGCGGAGGATCTGCCCGCGCTGCGCGCCACGTTGCTGCCCGCGCTGCGCCTGCTGCCGCAGCTGCCCGCGCCGGAGCAGCTGCAGGTCAGGGGCGAACAGCAGACGCACGTCCGCGCAAATCCGCGCTCGTTACCCTGCCTGTGAGAGCGAAGCCTGTGGCACCATCGGCTCCTGGAAGGCTCTGCTGCGCGGCGACGGAGGGGGAGAAGAGGGATCGAGAAGCAACCAGACGGCGGGGAGCGTGCAGGCGGGGGGCCAGGGCTGGCAGGACGGAGCAGGCGGGCGGGCAGGCGGGAACGGACAAGGGAGAGACCGCAACCAGGGAGCGAGGGAGGAGGCTCGAGGTGTGACTGCTCAGTTTTTGCCGCTGGGCTCTGGGACATGTCCAGTGAGTTCTGGGTTCGGTTCGAGCCTCGGAGGTTACGTCCCGCTCAACATATTCACGCAATAGATGCACGCACGCATGCACACCTGCGGTTACTCATGCGCAGTATGTGCAATCACGCCCTGCGGTGGCAACGATGCTCGTCTGAAATGCGATCGTTTCTCGACGTGGAGGTCCCCATGTGTACAGCTGGTTCCCTAGCGCGGCGACGACGACGACCGCGTCGGCAGCTACGAAGAGGGACGAGGACGACAACGACGACGACGACGACGGGAGAAAGAAAGGGAGGAGGAGAAGGAGGAGGAGGAAGAGGAGGAGGAGGAGGAGGAACAGACAGACAGGCGGTCAGCAGGGCCTCTCCCCTCTCCCTCCTTCGGCCTCCTCGTCGCAGCCCCTCCCTTCTCTTCCCTCTCTTCCCTTCTCCCTCGTCCTGCGTCTTTCGTCCTCCTCTGTCCTCCCTCCTCCTCCCTGGTGGTTGTCTTTCTCCCTCCTGCATCCTCCTCCCTCGTCCTCCTCCTCGTCCTCCTACTCGTCCTCGTCTTCCCTCTTCCACCGTCCTTACTCCTCACGCATGGCAAGTGTTCCCGTGCCCAGCGGCCTCCCCCCTTTTCCTTCCTTTTCCTCCTCGTTGTAGCCATGTCTTTCTCTTCCCCTCCGTCCTCCCGCGTCCTCCTCATGCTTCCTCCGTCCTCCCTCGTCCTCCCTGGCGGTCATCCCTTTCCCTACATCGACGTAAGAGGAGTCGGAGGTGCAACAAGAGCGCCTTGCTCGAGACATGGTCAGGATCTGGGCACGAACGGGCGAATGTCATAGCCCTTGGCGGCGCCCCTTGGTGCCGAAGCCAATGTATCGCTCAAAACATCCTCACCATCTGCTTTGAAAGCAGAGGAGCAAGAGGCGCCGTAACAGGCAAACCACGCGAGACCTTGCGACAACGTGGCCGCGACTGGGCTAGTGTTCTGCCCCCCTGGCGACTTCCCTCTGGGGTGCTGGAACCAACGCCTCACTCGAGACACCCTCACATCCGCCTTGACACTAAAGGCGTCTGGGCCACCAACAACGCAACCCGCTTAAGACATCCCCACAATCTTGGCGCGACCTGGGCCGTGCAACCACCCCTGGCGGCTCCCCCTTGGGGTGCTGAGGCCAGCGCCTCGCTCGAGACATACTCATGCTCTGCTTTGAAAGCAGAGGAGACAAATGGCGCCGAAACAGGCAAACCGCCTGAGACATCGCCACAATCTGGGTGCGAACGGGACCATGCAACAACCCCTGGCGGCTGTCCCTGGAGGTGCTGAAGCCAGCGCCTCGCTCGAGACATCCTCACGATCTGCTTTGAAAGCGAAGGGGTCAGGGCAACCAAATAGGCAAACTGCCTGATACATCCCCACATTCTGGGCGCAACCACCCTGGCGGCTTTTTCTTGGGGTGCTGGAACCAGCGTTTCGCTCGAGAAATCCTTTCGATCTGCATTGAAAGCAGAGCTGTCTGGGCGATCCAACCGCCAAGCTGCTTGGGACATCCGCATTACGCTACCGAGAAACCCCACATACTTAACTTAAATATTGAGTGTTTGCTTAAGTTTATAATCTATGTGCACTTCTGCGTTCTCAGCCCTCGTCGCGAATGTTCCCCTATGTGTCATCCAACGCCATGTTGCTTGAACCTTCTCCCTCTTCCTAGCCTTCAATCCTCTGTCGAGGACAGATTCGAGCCAGCCAGCGGCCGCGGTGAGGGACCACCCCCTGCGCACCCCCAGTGGTGTCGAGAAAATGCCGCGCCTGCTATGCCCTGGACGACCGTCGTGCATAGCGGCCGCGGTGAGGGACCCCCCCCTGCGCAGCCTCTATGGTGTCGAGAAAGTGCCACGCCTGCTATGCCCTGGACGACCGTCGTGCATAGCGGCCGCGCTGAGGGACCACCCTCTGCGCACCTCCTGTGGTGTCGAGAAAGTGCCACTCCTGCCACGATCTGCGAGCGTGTCACGGATAGAGGCCGCGCTGAGGGACCACCCTCTGCGCACCCCCTGTGGCGTCGAGCAAGTGCCACTCCTGCCACGATCTGCGAGCGCGTCACGGATAGAGGCCGCGCTGAGGGACCACCACCCCCTGCGCACCCCCTGTGGTGTCGAGACAGTGCCACTCCTGCCACGATCTGCGAGCGTGTCACGGATAGAGGCCGCGCTGAGGGACCACCCTCTGCGCACCCCCTGTGGTGTCGAGAAAGTGCCACTCCTGCCACGATCTGCGAGCGTGTCACGGATAGAGGCCGCGCTGAGGGACCACCCTCTGCGCACCCCCTGTGGTGTCGAGAAAGTGCCACTCCTGCCACGATCTGCGAGCGTGTCACGGATAGAGGCCGCGCTGAGGGACCACCCTCTGCGCACCCCCTGTGGCGTCGAGAAAGTGCCACTCCTGCCACGATCTGCGAGCGTGTCACGGATAGAGGCCGCGCTGAGGGACCACCCTCTGCGCACCCCCTGTGGTGTCGAGAAAGTGCCACTCCTGCCACGATCTGCGAGCGTGTCACGGATAGAGGCCGCGCTGAGGGACCACCCTCTGCGCACCCCCTGTGGTGTCGAGAAAATGCCATTCCTGCCACGATCTGCGAGCGTGTCACGGATAGAGGCGAGGCCGCGCTGAGGGACCACCCTCTGCACACCCCCTGTGGTGTCGAGAAAGTGCCACTCCTGCCACGATCTGCGAGCGTGTCACGGATAGAGGCCGCGCTGAGGGACCACCCTCTGCGCACCCCCTGTGGCGTCGAGAAGGTGCCACTCCTGCCACGATCTGCGAGCGTGTCACGGATAGAGGCCGCGCTGAGGGACCACCCTCTGCGCACCCCCTGTGTGTCGAGAAAGTGCCACTCCTGCCACGATCTGCGAGCGCGTCACGGATATAGGCCGCGCTGAGGGACCACCCTCTGCGCACCCCCTGTGGTGTCGAGAAAGTGCCACTCCTGCCACGATCTGCGAGCGTGTCACGGATAGAGGCAGCGCTGAGGGAACACCCTCTGCGCACCCCCTGTGGTGTCGAGAAAGTGTCATGCCTGTCACGATCTGCGAGCGTGTCACGGATAGAGGCCGCGCTGAGGGATTACCCTCTGCGCACCCCCACCCCCTGTGGCGTCGAAGGAATGCCCTGTGTGGTATGCTGTGCTGTGCTGTGCTGTGCTGTGCTGCTGTGCGGTGAGCTGTGCTGTGCCGTGCCGTGCCGTGCCGTGCCGTGCTGTGCTGTGCTGTGCGAGAAGGAGAAGGGGAGGGGGGAGGTGTGAGACGCGGGTGCGGCGCGGCAGGGAAGAAAACCAGAACCCCACGAAACATGTGGGGAAAAAGCTGACAGCGAAGCACTCCTGGCGGCTCCCGGTTGCTGCAGCGAGCGCCTCGCTCGAGAAATTCTTACGACTTGCTCTGAGAGCAGAGGATCTGGGCAACCGAGCAGGCAGACCGCCTCGGACACCCCACGCTCTGGGCGCGAGCGGGGCCGTGCAACCACTCCCGGCGGCTCTCCCATGGGGTTCCCGGAAGCAGCGCCTCGCTCGAGACATCCTCACGATCGGCTCTGGAAGCAGAGGAGCTAGAAGGCGTCGAAGCAGGCAAACCGCCAGAGACTTCCCCACAAGCTGGGTGCGAACGGGGCCGGGCAGCCACCCCTGGCAGCTCCCGGATGCCGTAACCAGCGCCTTGCTCGATAAATCCTAAAGATCTGCTCGGAACGTAGGGGGGTCTGGGCCAGCAAGCAGGCCAACCGCCTGAGGCGTCCCTTCCCACGATATGGGCGCGACCAGGGTCGTGCAACCACCTCTGGCGGCTCCCCCGCGGGGTGCTGGAACCAGCGCCTCGCTCGAGACTTCCCCCCGATCTGCTCTGAAAGCAGGGGATCCTGGGCAGCCAGGCAGGCAAACCGCCTGAGGCATCGCCGCAGTCTGGGCGCGACCTGGGCTGGGCAACCACCCCTGGTGGCTTCTCCTCGGGGTGCTGGAACCAGAGCCTCGCTCGAGATATTCTCACGATCTGCTTTGAACGCAAAGGAGTCTGGGCAACCAAGCCGGCAAACCGCCTGAGGCATCGCCGCAGTCTGGGCGCGACCTGGGCTGGGCAACCACCCCTGGTGGCTTCTCCTCGGGGTGCTGGAACCAGAGCCTCGCTCGAGATATTCTCACGATCTGCTTTGAAAGCAAAGGAGTCTGGGCAACCAAGCCGGCAAACCTCCTGAGGCATCGCCACAATCTGGGTGCGAGCGGGGCCGTGCAACCACCCCTGGCGGCTCCTCCTCGGGGTGCTGAAACGAACGCCTCGCTCGAGATATCCTTGCGATCTGGGAGTCCGAGGGCGAATGCGTCGCAAGTCCAATTGCGAGTGAGGCTGATTGTGAGTGCGTCTGAGGTTCAGTGACTTTGAGTGTGACTGAGACTGAGTGTGAGGAAGTCTGAGCATTAGTGAGTCTGAGTGCGAGTGAGGCTGAGTATGAGTGTGTCGGAGTGAGTCTGAGTGAGGAAGAGGAGGGTGTGGGTGAGGCTGAGCTCGAGTGAGTCTGAGTGTGAGTCTGAGTCTGAGTCTGAGTCTGAGTGAGGAAGAAGAGGATGTGAGTGAGTCTGAGCTCGCGTGATTCTGAGGGCGAGTGAGTCTGATGACGACTGAGTCTGAATGCAGGTGTGCTTGAGCACGAGTGAGTCCCAATGAGGAAGAGGAGGAGAGGGGGAGAGTGAGGTCTGAGGCGTGAATCGGAGGCGTCGGAGTGTGAGTGAGTCTGAGTGCTGACGAAGAAGTCTGAGTCTGAGCGAGACCGAGTGAAGGACGAGGAGCGCACGATTGGCAGGAGGAGGGCGAGCGTGAGGAGTCGGTGGCTTCTGAAGCAGTAGCCAGAGCCCCATGTGGTGCGTCGCGGTCGTCCCCTTCCTCGTCCTCCTCCTTCTTCTCCCAAAATAGTCCGCTGAAAACAAATAATAAACAAAATATGTTGGGAGACGGGGAAGAGCGTAGATCTGTTTCACGTTTTCCGAGAGTTTGCACTGCGCGAGCGTTCGCAACGCGAGGCTGACCTCGCGGACTCGGGGGGTCCCGCTCGGGTACGTGGCGGGGCGCGCGCACGCTTTGCGGACTCCCCCGCAGGTGGGCTTCTGGGTCTCCAGCCTGCTGGGAGTGGTGCTCCTCAAGGCTCGGGGGAGGAACCCTGGGACCCGGGCGTTGCAACAACTTTCACGCCGGGCGTTTTCGCCCAGACTCTGGCCCCGGGACAGTCATCAGCCGCGAGCGAGGGGGGGAAGTGAGAAGGAGAAGGCCTTCTCAGAAGGCGGCGGGACTTCTCAGAAGCCCCCGCGCCTTCTCAGAGGTTTTTTCTAACTTCGGGGAATGCTCAGAAACTTTCAGAAGTCCCTGGGGACTTCGAGCCTTCTGAGAAGGCCCGCCCCTTCTCGCTTCCCCCCCTCGCTCGCCGCCGAAGATTCTGGTCCCGGGACCATCAGATCGATTCGGCTGGAAAGCTGCCGCAGGTCCCGGGCTCTGGCCGTGATTTTCTTTTTGTCCGTCGCAGCCGCAAGCGAAGGCGCAGGCGGCGTCAGAGGTCAACCTGGGCTACGGGCGAAGCCTAATCACCCAGCGAGCGCACTCACGGCTGGCGAGGGTCGTGATTTTTCGCGATGCTGCATTTTTCCCACCCCGACGAAAGGTGCCGTTGCCAGCCCTGGTCGCCACGGCTGGATTCGTCTCGAACTTCTCTGGTCAGAACACACCACGGGAGAGGTCTGGGGAGACGGCAGGCTCGCGTCGTGTCGATGGAGAGGTCGGGCGATCGAAAAGTCGAGCGCTCCAGGCGGAGTCAGAAGCTTGCGCTGGGATCGTCACGACACGCATCTGCCATGCCAGAGTCGGTCTCTTTTGGTTTCGCCCCAAGAGGCGGCCCAGGGCGGGCCTCTGCCCGCCCACTGCGCGGAATTCTCCGCAGAGTGCGTGCGATGGGCCGCGGTGGCCTGGAGCCCAGCCAGCCCTCTGGTGAACCAGACCATCGACAACAACCGCCACGTCCTCGCGGTCTGCGCGATCCTGGCCGAGGTGGCCGACGAGGAGACCAGGCGTAACCTGGTCGGCATCGTGACCAGCTGCACCGTCGCGCCGGCTGCGCAGTTCTGGACCGCCCGGTTTTTCCAGTCGGTGCTGCAGGGCGTGCTGGCGGCCGTCGCCCTCGAGGCCACGGGCTCCATGGAGCTCCAGATCGCCTTCCCGCTAGTGCAGGGGAGCCACGTGGCCCCTAGCGCGGAGCTGGTGGAGAACGTCCTCCTGTTCGCGGAGGAGTGGGAGAGGAGGCTCGCGCGACCCCGCACGGACAGCCCTGCATGGCTGGCCGCTGCCTCTGGCCTAGCGGGCGCCCGCCAGGGCGCGCCCCTGACGCCGGCGGCGTGCCTCGCGGCCCTCTTCCTGGCCCGCGCTGGAGGCGGCCGCGCCGGGGGGGGCGAGCTGGCCGCGCGCGCCGGCCTCGCTCGCTGGCTGCGCTCGGGAGTGTGCGATCCGCCGCGGTGCGAGCAGGCGAGGAGGGGGAGGGAGGGAGGAGGAGGAGGAGGAGGAGGAGGAGGAGGAGGAGGAGGAGGAGGAGGAGGAGGAGGAGGGGAGGAGGAGGAGGAGGAGGAGAGGAGGAGGAGGGAGGAGGAGGAGAGGGGAGGAGGAGGAGGAGGAGGAGGAGGGGGAGGAGCAGGACGTGGTCCTGCGGGGGTACGTGGCGGCCGCGGCGGGCAGGGTGCTTGTGCGGGGCCAGCCGCTGCGGGTGTGGGAAGACCTGGCGCGGGCGCTGGTGCTGGCCGTGACTACCGCGGTCGTTCCCGGCTCGCTGCCGGGGCGCCCTCCCGAGCTGCTCGCACGCCATTGGCGCTCCGCGGCTGGCCTGATGCCGCTAGTGGCCGAGCCCCTCGCGGCGTGCCTCTCGAGTGTGCCCGAGGACGCGCAGGTGCCCCTGATACTGCGCCCGCTCGAGCTGCTCTGCGCCGAGTGGTGCGAGGGCTTCGACAGGCTCAGAGGCTACCCAGATCCCGCGCTGCGCCGCCTCGGCGTGCTCGTGCTCATGCTCGTGGGCGGCGTGGCCCGCCAGGCCGACCTGGCCCGCCTCTCCACCCAGGCGCTGGTCTGCTGCATGCGCGCAATGGCTTCCGTGGACGCGTTCCGCGACGCGCAGACCTGGGGAACCGCGCTGCTGTCACAGGAGTACGAGGCCGTGTGCAAGCGCGTCTGCGAGATCGGCACCTCGCGGGGCCCCGCCTTCGTCGCGGCCCTCATGTGGACGCTCGCGGAGGCGCACGCCCACCTGGTGGCGGCCCGCCTGAGGATGGGTGGCGCGGCGCACGCGTGCCGCCTAGATCGGGGAAGCGTAAGGCTCGAGTACGCCAGAACTCGGGTTTGCCGACGCTTGTTGGCGAGCGCGTCTTGGATTTTGCTGGCCCAGTTTTCGTGGGACGTTGGCAGCGGGCGCCCGCACCAAATGTCGGCCTGCGTCCTGTCCTGTTTGTGACAGCCCCGTCGTGCCAGCCCGAGTCCCCCGATCCCCAGTCTTGCGTTTCCCTGGCGATACTTCCTGCTGGGGCAGGCGGCCGCTCCAGAGCTCATGGACACGGAGCGCTACTTCGAGTGGGTGTGGCCCGTCGTCCTCGACTGCGTCTGGGCAGGCGGGGAGCGGGGCGACGACCGGTCCCCCCTCGCCGCCCGGGCCCACTCGGTGGCCGCCGTGTGCTTCGCCCACGCGGGGGCGCGGGGCCGCAGCGGCGAGGTTGCGAAGTACCTGTCGGTGGGCATCCTGGCCTGCGTTGCCGCGCCGCAGCAGGACCTCTCGGGCCCGGCCTGCCCGAGGTGGAGAGGGGGAGGGAGATGATGAGGAGGACGAGCAGGACAGCTCAGCTCTAGCGCAGCAGAGCTGCCTGGCGCCGAGGGGAGTACGTAGCCTGGCGTATTCCGGCGTGGCCAGGCGTGACAGATCGATGGGAGGGAGGAGGATGAGGAGGAGGAGGAGGAGGAGGAGGAGGAGGAGGAGAAGGAGGAGGAGGAGGAGGAGGAGGAGGAGGAGGAGGAGGAGGAGGAGGATGCGGCGGAGCAACATGAGGCGAAGGAGCAGCAGACATGGCGGAGGGGGAGAGGGTAAGCTAGGTGCGCTCGCGTCATGTCTGACGTCCTACGCCTTCCTCCCATCCGTTACCATGGCTCAGATATCTTTTCTATATTCGCAGAGTCGGATGTCGAGCAGGGCAATGATCGCGAGAGGGTACGTGATGCATGGTAGAGCACGGCATGGCGTGGCGTAGAAGAGCACGGCAGAGCGTGGCACGCCGTGGCATGGCGTGGCATTGCGCAGTGAGGCATTGCCTCACAAAAAGCATTACGACGCAAAGCATGGCATCGCACAGCGGCGCAGAACACAACACCGCACAGCATGTCATGGCATGGCGCCGGGTTCCATGGAGGGTAAGTGGATCGTCTTCGAGAGGTGTCGAGAGGTTTGGGCCTGTCTGGAGGTTTGGCTCCATGTCTAGCTCCTTAGGCTCTCCGGCAAGCTCCACAACAAGGCGGGGCTGATGGAGAGCACCCGCTGGCTCTGCTTTCAACCTCGCCTTCTCAAAGCAGAAACGAGGCTCCCGCTTGATACTTCTGAAAGCGACGACGCTTCAAAGTGGGGCTTCTGCGGTCCCAAAAATCAACGAATGGATACCGAATGTGTAATCACTTCCGATGGTTTCCTCGGGGGGCCATTTTCTAGATGTTGGGTCCTATGTGGAAGGACCGAGAACGCCCGCGCTGCAGCGGGAGCAACATTTTGACAAAACAACCCAAGCGAAAACCAATTTCCCGGGAATCCTGTGTGTTAAAAAACAGTACGCGGAGGGGGGCCATATATCTTCTGGACGTGATCAGGGGGAGAGGAGAGTAGTTCTCTTATTGTGTAGTTGTAGACGGGAAAGCAGAATAAGGGGCTCCTGACGTGGAGGCCAAGGGAGAGTGATCAAGGCTCTCTGAGGATGAGCCAGTCTGCGAACAGATTTAACGTATCCAAGGCCGGTCGGCAAACACACCGATCAACGAGAGTAATCATGGTGCCAATTAGCGGAGTGCCCACTGGGACATTGTTAGTCTACTCATTTTTTTGTTGGAGTCCGCCGGGGGTCAATAAACAACAGCATATTCTGATTCGAGACGCTGTGCCGTGACAGAGCTTCCATAGCCCGCGTGATTGGGAGCCGAGCCGACGGTGCTGCGAATGTATGAGCGCCAGGGCCCCAAAACGGCCCAAAAGGGCCTCTCAGACAGCCCCAAGCGAGCCCCAAGCGGGTCCAAAGAAGCAGACACTTTAAACGAGGTTTAGGTGGGGCTGTATAGCGAACGCTATATCCGCCGCTGTCTTGGCTGAAGACTGCGCGCTCCCATAAGCCAGTTAAACGACTGAGTGCGACTCTATCTGGATTATCGTATCAGACAAAAGACAACGTCTATCTATGATCCGCTTCTCCATCTCATGGTATAGCCCTTGCCTCTCGACTTGCTTGCCATCCATGGATGAGTTATGGGATACGTCGATACGTCGCCGACATAATCCTAAGAGTAGGGTTCTCGACTTATTACCTCATGGTCAAACCCTCAACCCTTACTTTTTCACTTGGTAGCGGAGCTGACTACATCTTTGTGTGGCTGGCTCTTGCATCAGGTGTTGTGTACATAACAACCTACCGCGGCACAGTGGAGTACCCGACTGCGCCGGCTCTCAGCCACTACGCTCCCGATATTCTTCAACCAACTGGTATGACACATATTTTTGTGTATGTATACATATGTATGCATGTCTGTCTGTCTGTCTGTCTGTCTGTCTGTATGCATGCATGCATGCATGTATGTACGTATGTATGTATATGCATGTATGTATGCATGCACGTGCACATGTATGTATGTATGTATATATATATGTATATATATATATATATGTCTACACCTCCATCTCCCCGCCGCGTGGCCACACGCCACGCACAATTCAAGTGCCGATACCCATCCGCAAAATGACGGCCACGTCAGACCAGACACCCAGTCGCAATCCTATCGGCGCGACAATATCAAAACAAACGAAACGTGACATCAACAGCTACAACGTGACCATTCATTGTGTCAAGGCCGCTATATTTGGACACACCTGGGTGTGCCTAGGTCTTACCGTGGCATGCGTGCTACGAAGAGGACTGGAAGACATGCGCATTCGGGGTCCCTTCTGGGTCCCCGCAGGCAACGTACTCTTCCGCGGCTTTTGTCCGCGAAGTACTCGCATGGCTTAACGTCGCGAGCGGAAGCGTGACTCCACCCGAAGAGGCCGCCGCCCTACAGCGCGGCCCTGCGGGTTTGGCTAGGACACCAGCCATGAGGGTGCCGTCCACCATCATCAATCATGGTGTCACCTTCGTAGGGGAGACGCGCCGATGGGGTCTCATACATTATGTGCTTGTTAAGCATCAAGTGGAACATCTAGACGACGAGGGACAGCTCACTTCGGGGACAGCCCTCATCGACTTCTGGATCGAGAGGGGCGAACGCATCGATTGAGTGCTGGCCCGGTTTGAGATGGCCAGGCTGGAAGCAGACTCAGCGGACTTTAGCATATTCAACGCCCAGATCATTACTCTGATCTTTTTTTCGTGCCTTGGGACTTGGCACCTCTCGAGCAGCGCAGCTTCTTCGACGGCTAAATCACCGGATGCCCCGTGCCCAACAACAGTGCGACCAATTCCTGGAGCGAATGCGCAGCCGTGGGCACCTGGCTGAGCGTTCCCCAGGAAACGTCGGGGGCATCTTCAGCGGACGCAGCGCGTGCACCTACCGCGCCGAAAAAAGCGACACCCCGGGAGCCATGCCGGATAGCATCTGGATTGACGGTTGAGCCCACTTAGTCCACGACCCCTCTAGGCCACGAAGCCAACAATAACCAACAGGCTTCTGGCTCAAACGCGGGCTGGCCGTCAGCGGCCAGCTATGCGCCGCCTGGCGCGACCGCCCTCTGGGGTGTACGTCGTGTCTTTCGCGGTAATAGCAAGGGCCGCCGCGAACGCCCGCAGATGGCATGGCAAAGGATAGCCGCTTCTCTGGCTCGATTGGCCGACTACGACTTTGAAGGTCTATGTCTAGAAGGTAGAGCGAGGGGTAGAGGTCGTAGGCGTACTGCGGGCAAGTGCAAGGGACGTAGGCTCAATCCAATGAGAGACGATGGTAAACGGATGACATGCAATACCCGCGGAAGCGATAAACACTTCCAATCGCAATGCTCCAGGGGAGGTGTGAAACGGGATCAATCAAGCCGAAGCGGATGCTATCGTGTGCGTTGATTTCCCCGAAACCCGATGCTCCCAATCAAGTTCTGCTTGGTTTCTGATGGCCCACTTCGCCGGCGCTGTCATGTCGCTGGAACGTTGCGCCAAGTGTCTGCGCGACGAGATCGAAGGAGCTGTGTGGCACGCCCGCCGGTGACTGGGTCGGCGCGCGTTGGCGCAGACGCGTGCAGTGCGAGTCAGACGACGACGATGACGACGATTGCATGTCTGGCGCGGGGGCTGCACCTGCCGCCGACGTTGAAATAATGGAACAGCTCTGACACGAGCAGGCGAGGCTCCGCCCGCTCCCGACCGCAACGGTGTTTGGACTCCTGGAGGGCGAGCGGGCTGTTGTGGGATGGGGGCAGAGTCGTGCCAGCGCGCTCATGATGTGCGGTAAGTTTGGAAAGGGTCCCATTGGCTCGGGTGGTCATTGCAAAGGCAACAGCGGAGGCAGTCGCCGTGGCCGCAGCTCTTCGGCCCACGCGACGGAAGGCGTTCCAGGAAATCTGGCAGATATAGCCCGGGCGCGGGCGGTCCTTGTCGAGGTCGTAGCCGCTCGCGTGGGGCTGGCCCTTCCAAGGGCAAAGGCTATGCTCGGTCTGCGGAGACCGCGTGCGGTGCGAGCCCTGGCGAGACGGTCTTTGGACATGTAATCGTTCTCTGCGCGTGATATATATATATATATATATGTATTTATTTATATATATATATATATACATTCTGATGGCGATCAAGGCCCGCGCATGGAGATCAATGGGGCCGGCGTGAACTTTCTCTTCGAACAGGGTTGCGCATAATCACATTTTCGTCACTGGTGTTCTTTGGGGCATCATGTTCCTCGTGGCGACAGGGGCTACATCATCAGAACATCAGGGCGTCGCGGTGCAGAGAGTGATGGCGCGGGCATTGAAGCGAGACGTCGTCCAATCCGGCAGGTGCTACCGTATGTGTCCATGCCTGGCTCGCAGTCGGCGTCGCCGTGACTGTCCAGCGGGCTGTCTATTTCGCAGCCCGCATCATGGTGGGACGCCTTGGCATCCTTGCCATGGCGAGGGCGTCGGCGGAAGGGCGGCCGCGTCCGCAGAGGACTGCTGCCCATTGAACGATGCCGAAGTCTAGGATGCGGACGCGGCTTGGGAGGACGTGGGCGATGATCGCATTCTCAAGGTTCACAGCCAGGACTGGCACTGCGAGCGTCGGGATATAGATCCCGCCGAGGCGAGCGTGGACAGGGGTCGAAGTATTCCCCGTCAGTGCGAGTTGAATGCGACGGGGCAGATCGTGAGTAGTTCCAGGGCCGAGCCTCCTGCGCCCCCTCCAGCGGCGACCCGGGCGGCGGGCGAGAAGTTCGAAGAAGAAGGGGATCAGGAGGAGCGGCCGCTCGCGCTTGCCTCGCCTGCCGAGCCGCCAGGCGGGCGCGCCCAGGGCGAAGATGGCCCGACATGGAATTGGGCGGGCGCGCCTGGTGGGCCCAGGGGACCGACGAGACAGAAACGGCTCCTGCAGAGGAGTTGCGTCCAGGCCAGGAGGTGGGCCTGGATGGGGCCCCCCGACAGCGACATGGAGAGCCAGTGCGGCCCTGCGAGGAGATTCCCCAGGCAATGTCAAAATGAGAGGTGCCCACTTCGGAGGTAGCTCGGCACCTCTGCCCGAGCTGCCGTTTGCCACGGGGTCTACAGAGTCCCGGGAGGGCTCCGCTCATCGTGGTGACTGGGCGCCCTCACTACCTGCGGCGCGTGCTGGAGGATCAAGTTCGGCAGCGGGCAGAGACGGGTCAAAACCTGATGCGCCTTTGAACCCCGCGGCGATGAAGAGTCTGACGGGGGCTTCGGACTGGACTTGCCTCCACAACGTGTATCCAAAGAAGAGACGAGCCAGGGCGCGGGCGGCCTACTGGGCCCATTGCCAGTCGGCAAGAGGCCGCAGCCCAAGCCGGAAGGCCTCCAATTGGAGCCCCTCTGGCCAAAAGATAAGAAAAGAGGTGAAGCTGGTCAGTGCCGCGCGGGCAAAATTCCTGGGCGGGCCGCCGGCTGGAGCATCCGGCGAGTCGTCTGCCGCGGCCTCGTCATCCGCTAGGCCACCGACGTGCTACTCAAGCCACGGTCAAAGGCTGCGCCCTCGAAGCAGGATGGTGCAGACATCCTAGTTGGGGCGGGCGCGCTGACGCAGGCCGCCGCCGAAGCGCAGCAAGAAACGTTGAACTAGAGACCTTAATGACAGGGGATAATTATGAATGGAAAGGGTTACGAGGTTATCCGTGAGTGGACGGACAACCAACCGCAATATTACATACCTTGGCACCCGAGCTGCACATCGGCGACGCGATGGGCAGTTCGGGTGCCAAGAAGGTCGCCACCCCAGCTGAAGTGCGCGTGCAACGACGAGGATGTCCCAACATTGTGGATCAGAGCCGCAGTTGGCACTCGTGTCCTGGAAGATTCTACCCAGAATCATTGGGCACTGCAGTTGCAGATGTAAGCGGCCAAACTCACGATGTCACTAACGATGCCCCCAGGTTCTTCATGTGCAGAACCAAGTTCCAATGCCTGAATTGCATCGTCGAGCGCGGGCTGTCCTGTCGCGCAGAATGCGACCCGCGAGGAAGACGCGGCAGGCAGTTTGTGCACGGATGCCCGTCCTTGTCGGGAGAGCACAGGATCCGTCCCGGCCTCGGGTGGGGGCGCCGAGTTTCACAGACTCGTATCTATGCCGCGTCTAGTGCAAGCTGGATCAAAGGTGTGGCGTTCCGTTGCCGCTATTGTTCTGACGGACGGCTTCGACGGTATTGTTTCGACCAAGTGCATCATGCAGCTTGCGTTGGGCCCGAACTGGAGCGTGAGTGCGTGTGGCAAAATTCCCAGCACATCTAAGACGCCAGCTATGAGCTACGGGGCTGTCCGGTAACCATGGACGATGTCC